TTCAAGAAGGACGAGAATAGTGTGTGGGAGCCAATGAAGTCCTGAGTGAATGCATTGCTCACATGAGCATGGCTGTGTCAAAGACCCCAATGCCTCAGACCCATGGGAATGGCAAGGCCTCCCCCTGGGCTGAGTACCGGTGTGCAGATCAAGGTAGTGGTGACAAATGGTGTTCAGAAGCTGAACAAGATGAGAACTGAAATCCTGGTGTCACAGTGCTCGCCCTTAACCACAGCACTTCAGAGGTGAAGAAGGAGGATCAGAGTTCAGGGCCAGACTTGACTACGTAAGACCTTCTCTCAAAATAAAAAACAAAATGAGAACTGAGGGTCTACTTCCGTCTTTGACAACGGGGAAGTCAGAATTCCCCAGAGATGTTTGGGTGAGGTGGTGTGCACAAGAGATGAAGGAGAGAACCACAGGAAGGGCTTACCAATGCTGCAGGAGTTAGCTGGGTGTGGAGGCAGAAGGGAGAACCGGGTGGCCAGGCAGACTGCCTCTCATGCTGGGACAGTGCTGGTGAGGTGATTCAGGCCTCCTGTTCCCACTGTTGGTCCTTTCTGTCTGACCTGGGCAAGCACTTGCTGTACAAAGGACTAAAGGATACAAAAGAAAGGGGCACGGACCTGGCCTGGGCACTGAGCTGAGCAATAATCCCGAACATGAAGGATGTGACCAAGCTGTTTCCTCACTAAGACAGAGGGGTAACCCACGTGCTGAGCTCGAGAAGTCCAAGAATACTTGCAGAAGAACTCTCACGCAGCTCCTGACACAAGAGAAGCAGTTCCACATTACAGAACTCTACATTGGCCTCATCCTGGTCTTCCAGAAGTTTCTATGTTGGGGCAGATGGCTTTTACAATTTTTGTGTGTTTGGTTGGTTGGTTGGTCAGTTGGCGTTTCAAGCCAGGGTTTCTCTGTGTAGCCCCAGCTGTCCTGGAACTCACTCTGTAGATCAGGCTGGCCTCAAACTCAGAGCTCTGCCTGCCTCTGCCTCCTGAGTACTGGGATTAAAATTGTGTGCCACCACTGCCCGGCTGGCTTTTACAATTTCAATGCGTGCTAGCTCCATACTGGCAGCAGACTGCCTCTTCTGAGCTCACAAAAGGTAAGATGTTTTCAGTGGCAATAGGACCAAGGTAAGTGTATGTAATTAGGCTAGGGAGGCTCATCCAGAAGCAGTGAGTGATAGGGCCCCAGCTGAGATGCAACTGTACGTGCTTGCTCTCTGTGAGGAAAGCATGTAGAAGAGCGGGTCAGCAATGTAAGGAAAATGCTAGGGATGGAGACAGCCTGTGGGAGTGTCACAGGCATAAAGAACAACCCAGCAAATGCAGGGACAATATGGGCACGACACTCATTCGTCTCTGGTGCCTAGGGAAGCTGCAAAGCTGGGGTAGGGGGCACCAGAGATCCGTACACAGTGCTGTGTCCCAAGGAGTGATGGCACCATTAGACTGCCCCCTGTCCTTGTCCTAGTTAGAGGGCGGACCGCCTGAGACTCCTCGTGCAGCCTCAAGTTGCTTATGGCCCTGAGGAAGAAGGAAAACAATGTACCCATTGCAGTGAATGGGAACACGCAGAGGATTGTGCGACTTCAGTCTGGCTGCTCAACCATGCCTGGACAGGCAGAGCAGCTGAGGGTGGCACATGGTTGGCCGTCCTCCTTTCTTGCGGTGTGGCCCAAGGTAAGTCATTTCTGTCTTGAGTCTGTGGTTGTTCAGGGAACTTAACCAGTTGGGGGTAGTAAGGCTGGCACTACTTCTGAGCCCCCAATTTCCCACGGCAGCTACAAGGAAAATAATAGATTGCAACCGACTGAATCAGACCCTCGTAACCAGCCATGGGAGAGGACAGTGGACCAGTATCTGGTATTTCATTATGAGAGAGGAAAAAAAACAATGAACCTTCATACCAACTCATCAATGATCAACACATACCTACCAAGGCCGCCCTCAGCTGGGCATAGTGGTGAAAGAGGTGGCAGCCGGTTTCCAGCCTTAAGCAGTCTGCCATGCCAGGATGAGGCAGCCGCAGGGAAGACCCACCCTAGAGCCAATATCTTGGGGACATTTTTGGTCAGCCACTGTGATGGCAATTCGTGATCCTAATAACCTCATGAACTAGACAGACAAATGATATTACTCCTGTTTTTCCACTGAGGACGAAGACCAGCTGAGGACTTGCCTAACGTCAAGACTTTTCAGAAGCCAGGACCCTCCAGAAGCAAAAGCATTTTATTTATTTATTTTTTAACTGTGACTTGTGTCCACCCAGGCAGTTCCTGTCAGCTCTGATGAGAGGCTGGGCTGGGAACCCTGAGCCTTCCGGTCCTCTACGCATGCCTGAGAGTCACTGGGCTGCAGGGCCACCAAGAATGGTAGGTTCCCTAGGGTGGAGAAGCCATACTGGGCTAGGGAACTTCACTTCAGGAGCAGGACTTGAATTCTAGATGGCTTTGGAACATTGGCATAGGAAGGCTGTTGAGAAAGCAGAGGATATTTAGGTAGAACAGACCCCAATCCTCAAATAACAAAGGGAAAAACTGGGAGGGCCTCAGGGGAAGATGTAAGAATCATGGAGACTTCTGCCAGGCAGTGGTGGTGCATGTCTTTAATCCCAGCTCTTCGGAGGCAGAGGCAGGTGGAGCTCTGAGTTCAAGGCCAGCCTGGTGTACAGAGCAAGTTCTAGGACAGCCCAGGACTACACAGAGAAACGTTGTCTCAAAAAACAAAACAAAACAAAAAAGAATCGTGGAGGTTCTGGGTCCTTAGGGTGGGACTTGAAGAAATGCCCAGAGTGGAGACATAGACAGGCATCCTGCTGCCCCTCAGGCTTCACATCTGGAACACATTAGCTCTGGGGACAGTGACCATCTTCCGGTCTACCTCACCTCTTGCATGTCTGAAGAAAGGGTCACAGCTAGTGCTATGTGTACCCCTGAGGCACCAGGACTCAGGTATGTGACCAGTGCTCCCAAGGTCAGAATGAGCCCTGGTCTTCCTCACAGAGAAGTCTTTACAAGAGGCCAAGACCCAGCTTTGGGAGGGAGGGCCCTGCCTGCCCTTTTCAGTGTGGTCCCTCTGCCTCCCCTAAGCATCCCAGCTTGGTATAACAGTGTCCCTTGGGGATGAAGACACTGAGGCTACACAGTCGTCTCCTTTGTAGGGAGCATCTTATGCCCCTCCCTATCTGCACTGGATGCCTCCCTCCAAAAAACAGAAAGGTGGAGACATGAGGAGAGGCCATAGAAACCAGCACCACACACATCCCAGTTTCCTGCCTATCTGGAAGGCCTCTTGGAGGTTAGAAGGGTCTCACTGCCAGCCAGGGGTCTTTTGCTTGTATCTCCTGCCCCACTCTGGGCTCTGGCAACCACCTCCTCTCCTTCTTTTGATCCCATTGTTTTGTTATGCAGGGCAGAAGAATTTGAAGTCGGAACCATCTTCTCTGTCGCCGCTGTGGACCCCATTGATATTTTGGGATTGGCAGGCTACCCCAAGAAGCAGGTCCTGTGTACACAGGAAGTCAGAGGGACCCAGTATGTGAGACACTGTCTAGCAAAACCAGCACTCCACCCCTGCCCAGCTTCCCCCAAGCCCTCCTAGCTTGGAGCTGGAGCTGCAGGCCATACCAGAGCCCACGCCCTGATCGGGCACACAGGCCTGCCATTGTCCGACAGTGCCAGGCACCCACGTGAAGAATGTGAGGCAGCAGACTGGGGGTTTGTCCCTGCAGTGGGGGCTGAGGCTGTGCGGGAGGAAGCTGGCCATGCTGCAGCTCAGGAAAGGCAGTGGGATGCAGGGGATGCAGGGAGGCGGCCGGGAGGCTGGCTGGAGTGGGAGCAGGGGTGTGACATTCCTCCCGCACCCATGCCAAGCCTGTGGGGCCGAAATGAACGTGAGAGGATTGCTAATGAGACCCAGGGGAGTTAAACATTCCCTGTTCCCGAGGGCTGAGTGAGAAGGGGCAGGCAGGGGTCTGGGAGGGGGCGGCCTGAACCCCAGGAATGTACAGAGGCCACTGCCCCTGCCAGGCTGCTCTGGAGCTAGGGGCTCAGGCCTGCTGTCTCAGGTCCCAGCAGGAGCTGCTGAGCCAGCCAGCAAAGGGATTAACTGGCTGAGAAGTTCTCCTTCCTCCAGGCCCACGCCAGATGCTGGCGCAGGTCCCCCCCAGCTCCCCACCACATCTGAGGCTGGCCTGCAGCCACTGCTGGCCTGGTAACTGTAGGGTCCTTCTTCTGACTCCTCAGATCCCAAACAGACCCTACAGCACATGTTCCCTGGTTTGGTCTCCCCTATTTTGATACGTATGGCTTCCAGGTACCCAGGCCTCTTCTCCCCAACACCTCAGCTCTAGCCTAGTCTCTGCACATCTGGCCTCGGAGCCCCTACCAAAAACTAACGCTAGGGGGTATAACTCAGTGGTAGAGTGTTTGCCTTACATGTGCAAGGCCTGGTTTCCATACCCAGCATACACACACACACACACACACACACACACACACACACACACGCACACGCACACGCACACACACACACACACGCACACACGTACATGCACACATCTAACTCTAGTTTTTCCTGCTGTAACTAGAATCTTTCCTTCCCTTTCCATCCTCAAGTTAGTGGGCGAGAAACCCCAGGTTCAGGTCAGGGACGAAAGCACAGCAAAGCCATCCGCGGAGCTGGTGCTTACGGGAGGGATTAGAATTCTCACTGGAATCACACTCCTGAAGGGGTTTCCCTGGCGGGAAAGGCCTTGAGAGGGGAAGAGTCACTCCCTCTAGCCCCTCCCTTCCTTACTCTTGAGGCAGGGAGGGCAAGGGTACCCCACCTTGGGCACTAGGTCCCGCCCTCCACCCCCAAGAAGCTGGGCAAGGGCTCTGCTGGGGACTGGCTGTGGGCGGGCTTTGGCCTTTTCCAGCCCCTGGGCCGCCCCCTGCATTCTGGAATCCAGCAGCCACTGCCTTTTCTAGGCTGACTGTGGCTGGCCAGCCGTCCGTCCAGCCGTCCCCTCCGCTCCCCTCCTCCTCCTGTGCCACTTAGCTTCCCTGTTCCAGCTGTTCCTCTCACCATGACCACGGCGCTCCCCGAGACCCTGGCCCATCTCTGAGCCCTGGAACCCTCGGACTCCTCCCTAGGCCATGGCCAACTCAGGCCTCCAGCTGCTGGGCTACTTCCTAGCCCTGGGTGGCTGGGTGGGCATCATCGCCAGCACCGCCCTGCCCCAGTGGAAGCAGTCCTCCTATGCCGGCGATGCCATCATCACGGCCGTGGGCCTCTACGAAGGGCTGTGGATGTCTTGCGCCTCTCAGAGCACCGGGCAGGTGCAATGCAAGCTCTATGATTCGCTTCTGGCCCTGGACGGTAGGCTTGAGGCAGGGAGCCTGGGAGGGGGCCGGGGAGGGCTGGGGCAAGCTTTCTCAGAGCCTGCCCTCAGCCCGGGGTGGCACACTCCAGTCCCTGTGTGGTTCCCTAACTGCTGTCCTGTGTACACTATAGAGAGTCCAGGCCAGCCGGGTCTCTGGGGAGGCCATATGAGCACAAGAGGCTGGCAGCCTGGGCTCCCTGTCCTGACACCATAGCCTGCCTGGCCAGTCACCCAACCCTTCGCACTGATGTCTTCCTGTGTAACCAGGACACTAATACATAGGACATGGGAGGGTAGATGAGGGTCTGGTTCCACAAGCCTGTTAACACCATCTGTTCCTCTTCTCTCCATATTCTATGTTGGTAGACACATGTATACACACACACAGGTGTAAACACCTCACACAGACACAAAGCACTAGAGCACACACAAACAACAGAACACACCCACGCATACATACACACACACACACACACACACCACACACATACACACACACACATGTCTACACACACACACACACCACACACCCCTACTCTTGGGATGTGGCATGTCAACCACCAAGCTGGCCCACAGTCAGCCACCATTACAGCTCCGACCTTGGCGGGGCCATCTCACCTGCACTCCAGCAGGGCTCTGCAAAGCACCTGAGCAGAAACTGCCACCAGTCAGCCCCACTGCACACGGACCCAGGCAGATCACTGGCCTCCTTCAGAGACCTAAGTTTCCCCGAGCTGTCTGCAGCCGAGATCTGACCAGCACACTCAGAGAGAAGCAGGCATACACTTCCATGGATGATTAGCAGGGCTTGCCGCTGAGGACCAAGCTGGGCTTAGGTGGGCCCCACATTCTCAGCTCTTTCTCTGGCAATTCTGAGCGGCACCTGGCCCTATCTCCTGATGCTCGAGGGTGCTCCAGACCCAAGGGAAAGCGGCAGAGGAGCAAATTCAAACTCTCCATCACTCAGCACCGTTCAGAGGAGCTGGTAAGGGCCAGTGGGAAATCACCTCCGCACCCTGTTCTCATATATTCCTTGTCTCTTCTCACAAGCAGGCAAGTGGTCCAGACCTCTTTGAGCTTCTACTCAAGCCCTTCCAAACTGGGCTGCTCCCATCCAGGTCCAACTCCTCCATTTTGCCACCCCCTCCGAGATCCCCACGCCTGCTCAGTACCATCTCACTGTTCCAGGTCATATCCAGTCAGCGAGAGCCCTGATGGTAGTGGCAGTGCTGCTGGGCTTTGTGGCCATGGTGCTCAGTGTCGTGGGCATGAAGTGTACGCGGGTTGGAGACAGTAACCCCATCGCCAAGGGCCGTGTGGCCATCTCCGGGGGTGCCCTCTTCCTCTTGGCGGGTGAGTGCCCTGCCTCCGACCCCCTCGACCATGCAGCTAGCCCACCCCGGTGGCTGGCTGGGCCAGGCAGAGCTGAGCACCCCCACTTGGTCCTTAGGTCTCTGTACTTTGACCGCTGTCTCATGGTATGCTACCCTGGTAACCCAGGAATTCTTCAACCCCAGCACGCCTATCAACGCCAGGTGAGTGTCGGGGCTGGCCCCTTCTTAGCTGTCCTCCCCTGGCCCATTGTCTCTTGGAAGAGGAAATAGGGAATGGGCCCCAGATAGTTTCTGAGAAAGGAGAGCCACGTGGGGTGTGACCAGGCCCTTGAGAGGGATGGGAGACCTGACAAGGACATCCTGGTGTAACCAGGCCCCTGAGGAGCCCAGGGCCCTAACTCTGGGTCTAAAGTCCAGCTCTATGTTCTTGCCAGTGACCTGGGTCACTTGTGACTTAACCTTTTCATGCCAGAACCAGCTCTCCTGTGGTTTTGAGGCTCTCGGAGGTGGTGAGGAAAGAGATTTGTGTCCAGGGCTCAGTACACCTGGGCAGTTTTACTTCTGCTGGTGGCAGCAGGTCAAGGTGGCTCCCCAGAGGAGGCGGAAGAACGGGGGTGGGGGGCACTGGTAATGTGAGACTGGAGAAAATGGGTAGCTAAGGTAAAGCCCGCAGCTATGAGGAGAATTTGCTCCTCACCCTGGGGGAGGCTGCAGCTGCCCTCTGCTGTGTGAGAAGAGCAGGGAGGTGGCCCGCACAGTAGAGCACAGGGTGAGAATTTGCTCCTCACCCTGGGGGAGGCTGCAGCCGCCCTCTGCTGTGTGTGAAGAGCAGGGAGGTGGCCCGCACAGTGGAGGCCAGCACAGCGAAGCAGCTGTTAACTTTGTCTCCAGCAGAGGGCGCTCTGAGTGAGGGAGGTAGCAGCACGAAGCAGGCCGTACACTTGGGAGCTACTTAGAGTTAAAGGCATTGCCGAGAAGGGGGTCAGGGGCTTTCAGAGGGGCCTGGGTATACTTGGTTCTTCCCTTCCTCTCAGTCTAGCCAGGAGCAAAGAATGATAGTTCCCAGTCCAGACATCCTGATGACTCTGGGGCGGAGGAGGATGAGAGGGATGCTTGGGCTGCCTCTGTGGGAAGGCTCCATGGAGAAGACAGAGAAGGAGAATTCAGACAAGAGAGTTGTGCTCTGGGTGGGCAGCTACAGCCCAAAGACCTGCCTTGCAAGGTCTAACCAAGGAGCCAAGCTGGGACTAGGACCATCCCTTCAGGACTCCTGGGGCTGCCTGGACTGGGTCCTGAGAACACAGTTAAGCCTGCCTGCCCTCCAAGTGCAGATCAAAGGATCCTTCCGGTGGGGGGTGACGAGGGGTGAGGTGAGCATGTAGAGGGGTGAAGGGGAACGACAAGGCATGTCCCCCAGTCGGGAGGTTCCATATGAACTGGGCCCTGAAGGTAGAGAAGGAGCTGGGAAGGTGTTCTAGGAGGGGAAGACCGGTACCAAGGCACAGGGAAAACCCTGGAAGAGCCAGGCTGGATGTGGAGAGCCCAGAGGGCCAGGCAGAAAAGCAGCAATCTCCAGAGGGCAGTGAGGAGCCACCCTGTCTGGACTCTGGTCCGTAGACCAGACCATGACTGGGAAAGGAGACAGCAGATTGTTCTCCCACATCCATCTGGATCTCTATATCCGTCTCTCCACCAGCCAGATGAGGCAGTGACCCCAACTCAACCAGACTTGAGCTGTGTGGGGTGGACGTGCTAGTAGGGAGGGAGGCAAGGTGAGCACTCACCCTAGTTTATTTGGAAAGAAGGAGGAGGCCTGTGAAGTCCTTGTGTGCTATCTTTTGTCTACCAGGTGCTGGTTGCAGGGCACAGGATCCCCAAGAGGGTTGGGGCCAGGCAGGGCTGGGTTTTGCAGCCTGATGGAGTCCTCCCTACCTTTTACAGGTATGAATTTGGCCCAGCTCTGTTCGTCGGCTGGGCCTCTGCTGGCCTGGCCATGCTGGGGGGCTCCTTTCTTTGCTGCACATGCCCAGAGCCCGAGAGAGCCAACAGCATCCCACAGCCCTATCGCTCTGGACCCTCAACTGCTGCCCGAGAGTACGTCTGAGTCTGCCTGCCCTGCCCAGCCCATCTGCCTAGCCACCCTCTTGCCTAGAACTCCAGCCAGCTACGTGATACCCTAGGCAAGGGTAGGTAGGGGTACAGACCCCTTGAACTCTGTCTGGAGCTCCAAGCATCCGGTCCTCAACATGGGCTCTGAGTCACAGACTCAGATGCTCAAAGAGATCAGAAGCAAGACCCAGCCAACACATGTCATCCAGTAAGACCCAGTCTGTTCTGTCTGCACCAGAATGAGTACACAGGGTCTTATACACTAGCTTAGCCCCTGGCTGGCGCCCAATGTGGGGCAAGAGTTCCACCTAAAACCTGAAAAAACTTCATCTGTGTACTTACTTACTGAAGGGGCCACCTGCCCACTATACGCTGGGCCCTGAAGATCCCAGAGCAACAGAAGGATCTCAGCTCATCACACTTTGGTCCAGAGAGCCCTTCATACTCCATCCAGCAGCTCCTCACAGCAACCATATAAAGGGAATTCTCTAGGCTAAGGACTGTCTCCACCTCACACACAAGGACACTGAGCTTCAGAGAGACCTGGAAGCATGAGTCTCCTGTCTGTAAGAGCAGGCCTCAGGCTCTAGCAGTTAGTTGCCCAACATTGTTTGGGTGTCCATACAGGTCACGAGGTCAGACTGTCTCACTCTTGTCCCCAGGAATGGACACTAGGCAGGGCTGCCATAAGAATCTTGTGCCTGGGCCTGACTCCACAGCCCTTGTCTCCATCACCTTCGCTCATTCCACTAACCAGCTTTCTCTCTTTTGACTTGCAGACCTGTTGTTAAATTGCCCGCCTCCATCAAGGGCCCCCTGGGTGTGTAAAGTCCGGGTTCCCAGCCAGGCCCTCCCCACTACTACATCTAGATGGTGTGTTTGGTATTTTTTGGAAAGAGAAGTGAACATTCAGCCCCAAGTGTGATGTCATCCTATCTATTCCCACGCGTCTAGGGCGGGGCCTGGACTAGAGAGGTCAGAGCCAGCTCCTAAGGTTATTGCGGTGGGTTCCGGGACACAGGCAGAGCAAGCAGGAAGCCCTGGGGTTCCTGCTTTGTATCTCTGCCTGCCCCACCTTGGAGTTTGGACCAGGACTTCCATGAGGAGAAAACACAGCTACTCCTAGAGACCACCTAAAGCCTGGCCTAGTAAGGGTGCAGGACCTCAGGGTGAGGGAGCCCCTGGCATGGAGACCATCCCATAGGTAGAATGTTCTAGGCCCTCCCTGGGAGTCCTCCTGAGGAAAAGGACAGTCTCTGTAAGGTCCAACTAGTGACTGGGTCCCAGTCGAGTGAGGGGACACTGTAGGAGCTCCCTCAGTGAAGAAGGGGATGGAGAGGGACATCACATCAGGGCTGTGCTGCACCGACTCCAAAGCCCTCGGTCTCAGCTCTCACCCTAATCCTACAGTGATTGTCAGAGCTTCCTTGTCCTGAAGTGCAGCCAGGCGACACGGGCTTTGGGTCTTGAAGTCTGGGTCTGACCTTCTAGAAGAGGTAAAGTCCTTGAGGAATGGAGGGAAACCAAGATCAGCAACATCCTTCATCCTCAGTGCCCATCCAGACTGTGCTGGCCCCTGCCTTCACCCTCAGGCTTCTGCCACTCAAGCCTCTCCCTGGCCTCCAGGTCTGTCCCTCTCCCATGTGCCTTCCTGGGTAGGCAGCGAGACCCCGCCGGCTTCTTCCACTTCTGGTCTGTGACCATATCTCCCACCAAGTTACTGAATCCCCAGAGCCTTCGTAGCTTCTTGTTCAAGACCGTGCAGTCTTGGGGTGCAAAGATCAAAACACTGCAGCCGACAGTGGCATGGGAGGAGGGAAGCAGGTGACGGACAGCTGCTATGGTCAGATAATGACTTACCTGCTAAATTGCTGACCGATGAATCTTCTGATGGATGGGAGCCGTCAACCCCCGTGGAAGCCTCTGATCCTAAACAGGTTTCCCGAAGGAAGCCCCTTGGGCAGTGAGAAGCGCAGAAGAGTCCTCTCTGAGTGCCTGAAGCCACCAGGTGGTTCTTGGTCTTAGGTGCACATTGGAGTCTCTTAGAAGGGAATGCCCAGCCTCCACCCAGACACAAAGATTTAGTTGGTCTGGTGGACCCAGGCATCAGAATTCACACAGTTCCTTTGCAGTGTGTGGTTCATACTAGGGGTACCTCCTTGAGGCCTACATCCAGACTAGCAGACTGATCTCTAGAGGGCAGAATGAGCCTACCAGAAGAGGGTGGGGGAGAGGCAAGACCAGAAAGGAAGTCTCATCCACCTCCTGCCTTTCCGGAGTCCAGATCCCTGGAGGAGACACCCACATCCTTCCCATCAGTGCCCCTTTGTGCTTAATGATTCCGACTTGAATCCTGTCACACAAAGCCTGACTAACACAGAGTTTGAAACCTATGAACCAAGTGTGACACAGATGTCCCCTCCCCAGGCCTGGTACTCAGCAGCATTTGGTTGTGAAGCCGGCAGGAAGCTTTGTGTCCCCCTCTTAAGAGTCTGAGGGCTAGGAGGCTCAAAAGCTGGTGGGGGGGAATTGGGAGGCAGAAAGTACTGGCTACATCTTGTGGTTGTCAGGGGCAGGCTGTGGGAGAAGAGGGCTCCATGCCAGGACTGCACCTAGAAGGAGGCTGGCATTATGTGTTCCTCCATTAAAGGAAGTCCCATTCTTATCAGCACTGGGGACTGGAAGGGCAGAGGGTCACACACCTTAATGAACTACACAACCAGTTTACACAGTGATTAAAACCGTGAGGTCCTGGGGGTGGGAAGGAAGTGTGTGCGAGAAACTGAAGGAGTTTCAAGCTAAAAGTTTGAGGAATGTGATCTCCCAGGCATCTCCTCAGGTGACCTCATCCAGATGTCCAGTTAAGGCCCGAGGCTTTCTGTCCAGTCTCTTGTGTTCTGTTCTGATCTCAAGGCTGAGGGATCCGGCAGAGACTGGAGAAGAGGAGCTCAGATACGAGGGAATGGTTCTAAAGCTATTGTCATCGCGTTTGGGTAAACAGAATCCCAGAAGTGAAGTCGGCAAGTTATACATTTAAGGACCATACCTATGCGTTCGGTTCCTAAAGTCCCAGACCCTGGGGGAGCAGGACCAGGAAGCTACAGGCTGAGAAGAACCTTGAAAAACAAGGATATGGCAGATGGCCATGAGACAATTTCAAGAAGTTATTATTTTGTGCTACATAATACTGTTACTTTGTGTGATGATGACACTGAGTGTAGGCTATATTTTTTTTTTAATTTTTTGATCCTTATCTGGTAGAGGTACAGCTGAAGCAATGGCTGGATTTGCTTTAACGTCTCTTAGAACAAGTTCATGGGCAAGGAAAGCTATGACATTGGGAAGCGCCATCCCCTGACGGGGCCCTCTACCCCTCTCTTTGTATGTTAGCTAATGAAAGAAAAATAAGAAATAAAAAGTTAGAAAAGAACTCCAGTGTTTGCTGGCTGCATCCGTCGCCATCCTCACCCTGACCAAGGAATAAAGCCAGAGCACTCTCACAGCACCTCAAACTCCTTCATTGTGTCCCGTGGCCCTGCTGGCCCCTCACCATCTCGGTCCCCATCCAGGCCTCCTGTCAAGCATGACGTTTTGACAAGACCTCCGTGTCGGTGACAGCATGTTGACGTTTGGGAAACACTGAAGCACGCTCGTGAGAGCTGCGTGGTTCTTCCTTCTTAAGATGGGAAATTCCTGCATCCTCCACTTGTTAGGCAGAGTGAATCCTGTTTTTGTTTGGAAACTTTGTTATTCTGAGATAGGGTCCCACTCTGTGGTCCTGCCTAGCCTGGAACCTCTACTGTAGACCAGGTTGGCCTCAAGCTCACAGAGTCACCTCCTCTGCCCTGAGTGCCCAGCAAATTTTTTTAAAAGTTTTTTATTTTTATTTATGTGTATGTGTTTGTATGGATGCATGCCCCATGTGAGTGAAGCTATCCACAGAGTCTGGAAGAGGGAGGGCAGGGTGCTAGAACCCCGGGAGCTGGAGTTATAGGTGGTTGTGAACCAGGTGATGTGGATGCTGGGAACTGAACCCGGGTCCTCTGGAAGCAGCAGCCTGTGCTCTTAACCCCTGAGGCATTCCTTTAGCTCAGCAAAATTTTATTTTGAGAGAGGGTCCAAAAACTTGTGATTACCCTGTCTCTACCTCCCGAGCGCTGGGGTTTCAGGCATGCATTACTATACCTGTTTCCTGTAGTGCTAGGGACGAGGGGCCAGACTCGGGGCTTTGCGCATGCTAGATAAGCAGGTTACCAGCTGAGCTGCATCCCCTCCTTCTCCACAAGAATTTTTAACATTGTTTTTTTTTTTTGTTTTTTTTTGTTTTTTTCTGTTTCTGCAAAGAACGGCTCTGGGATTTTGATGGGGATTGTAATGAATCTGCTGACTGCTTTTGATAGGATACCCATTTTCATACTTTTAATGTTCCCAATCCATGAGCACAGGGAAATCTAGTGTCTTCATTTCGTCTCTTGTGTTTTAAAGTTTTTATTGTACAAGTCTTCCAGTTCTTCGGTTAGGTTTCTTCTTCGGTTATTTTCTTTAAGCGTGGCTAGCGGAAATGCTTTCCCGATCTTTCTCCACGCGCTTTCATTTATTTGTATACAGGAAAGCTACTGCTGAGTGCTGGTTGATTTTGTACCCTGCCACTTTGATGAACTGGTTATCAGTTCTAAGCATTTTCTGGTGGAGTCATTAGGGTCTCTTTGATTCAGCCCAAATGATACTTCTGTGAAGCAACCTTCCTACCTCAAGATGAGATGTTAGCTGAGACTGTTGCCTTCTGCAATCTTTCCATGAGCTAATCTCGTCTTCAACTGTGTTTAGTCAGCCTTTAAACCTGCCCATTGATTTTTCCTCGGATATTGTATTTTTGTGATTGCAGATGGCCAGCTGGTTCATTTCTCTGCAAGTACTAGAACGTTCTGAGTTACTGAGGGTTAAGACTCAGTGTGTGAGTCAGGATGGCCCGCACAGTGCAGTCATACACTTGCACAGTTTTCCACACTCAGTGTGTGAGTCAGGATGGCCCTGCACAGTGCAGTCATACACTTGCACAGTTTTCCACACTCAGTGTGTGAGTCAGGATGGCCCGCACAGTGCAGTCATACACTTGCACAGTTTTCCACACTCAGTGTGTGAGTCAGGATGGCCCTGCACAGTGCAGTCATACACTTGCACAGTTTTCCACACTCAGTGTGTGAGTCAGGATGGCCCGCACAGTGCAGTCATACGCTTGCACAGTTTTCCACACTCAGTGTGTGAGTCAGGATGGCCCGCACAGTGCAGTCATACGCTTGCAGTTTTCCACACTCAGTGTGTGAGTCAGGATGGCCCGCACAGTGCAGTCATATGCTTGCACAGTTTTCCACACTCAGTGTGTGAGTCAGGATGGCCCGCACAGTGCAGTCATAGCTTGCACAGTTTTCCACACTCAGTGTGTGAGTCAGGATGGCCCGCACAGTGCAGTCATACGCCTGCACAGTTTTCCACACTCAGTGTGTGAGTCAGGATGGCCCGCACAGTGCAGTCATACGCTTGCACAGTTTTCCACACTCAGTGTGTGAGTCAGGATGGCCCGCACAGTGCAGTCATACGCTTGCACAGTTTTCCACACTCAGTGTGTGAGTCAGGATGGCCCGCACAGTGCAGTCATACACTTGCACAGTTTTCCACACTCAGTGTGTGAGTCAGGATGGCCCGCACAGTGCAGTCATACACTTGCACAGTTTTCCACACTCAGTGTGTGAGTCAGGATGGCCCGCACAGTGCAGTCATACGCCTGCACAGTTTTCCACACTCAGTGTGTGAGTCAGGATGGCCCGCACAGTGCAGTCATACGCCTGCACAGCTTTCTAGCTCTCTCCTCCTACCAGGAGTGTGTTACACAGTGGTTTTATCTTCTGACGTTTGGGATCTGGATCCCATGGCTCCCTTTCTAATGTTTTTCCTACTGGGCCTTCCTCATGTCTTTTCTCTTAGGTCATATAATGACCTATTATGTACCTTAAACTGGTGCTGTAGTTGGCATTTGACAAAAACATTCATAGAGACAATGTAACCCAGCACAATGCTGTTTTCCTTCCATAGCTTGCTTTAGACAGATGTCTAGGCTCGAGCAATCCAGGAATGCCTTTATTTTAAGATCAGCTCTTTAGACCCTTAGGCCCTTGGATGATGCTCTTGTGGGTTCCGTTTAAATGACTAGCATGGAAGGTCCCTAACTCAAAGTATAGGATAGTTTACAAGGCTTGCCTCATTTAGTAAGGCTATATCTGAATTTTCCCCTTCTCCAGGTCAATATTCAGGGCTCTCAGTGGCCTCTGAGAGTTGAACAGCAGTCTAGGGTGAGAGCAACCCTGAGCACCAGTGCCTCTTCCCTCTATCACCATGTTCTTTTAAAAACTGTTGAGTAAACTGGGCAGTGGTGGCGCACGCATTTAATCCCAGCACTCAGGAGGCAGAGCCAGGTGAATCTCTGAGAGTTCGAGTCCAGCCTGGTCTACAAAGTAAGATGCAGGACAGACACCAAAGCTACACAGAGAAATCTTGTCTCAAAAAAAAAAAACAAACAAACAAACAAACAAACAAAAAACAGAAAGAACACACACACACACACACACACACACACACACACACACACACACACACACACCCCTGAACATCAGGGTCACTTCCCTCTATCATCATGTTCTTTTGGAAACTCTTGAGTATTTGCATTCAGAAAGACCGCAGGCACACACCCTGAGATTTGGGACACATAGCAAGCTCCAGGAGAGCCTAGGTTACAGAGATCCTGCCACAAACAAATGAACAAAGTCAGCTGTGGGGCACATGCCTGTGATTCCAGTATGTGGGAGGTGGAGGCAGAAAGGTTTAGAAGTTTAAGACCAGCCTCCAGCCTCCTCTGCTACACAGTGGACTTGAGGCTACCCTGGATCCATGGGACCCTGTCTCAAAATAACAGCCACCACAAAAAGAGGAGGAGGAGGAGGAGGAAGAGAAAAAAGGCTGGAGAGATGGCTCAGCAGTTTAGAGCACTTGTTGCTCTTGAGAGGACCCAGTTGAGTCCCGGCACCCGCATGGTGGCTCACGGCCATCTGTAACTCCAGTTGCAGGGGATCTGATACCTTCTTCTGACCTCTGTCAGGAACTAGGCACACATACAATGTACATACAGACAGACAGACAAAACACATGGACACGGAAAATAAAAATAAATTAATTTTTTAGAAAAAAAAAGTCTCTCAATATCCTAAGACAGGAACTAGTGAGATGCTCAGTGGTAAAGGCACTTGCAACCAAGCCTGGTGACCAGAGTTCAAGCCCCAGGACCAACATGGTGCAAAAAGAGCTGGCCCAACACATGCACACGCACAAGCTAACAATAAGATGTGAAAAAATACTACCAGGCGGGGTTGGGGATTTAGCTCAGTGGTAGAGCGCTTGCCTAGTAAGCACAAGGCCCTGGGTTCGGTCCTCAGCTCCAGAAAAAAAAAAAAAAAATACTACCAGGCCACTTCACAATACAGTTTAAAATTAGTATTCAATTAGAACGATTGTATTTTTCTTTTGTATGACAATCATGCATTCCAATCCAAACTCACAGAACTATTAGATATTAAGACACCACATAATCAGGTTAAATATCACCTCCTTAGGGTGTTTAGTTTTGTTGAGACAGGGTCTCTCTACATAGCTCTGGCTTCTTGGAACTCCCTATGTATGCCAGGCTGGCCTTGAACTCACAGATCCACCTGCCTTTACCGTGTATTTCTTTTCTTTTCTTTTTTTTCTTTTTCGAGGCAGGGTTTCTCTGTGTAGTTCGGTGCCTGTCCTGGATCTCGCTCTGTAGACCAGGCTGGCCTCAAACTCACAAAGATCCGCCTGGCTCTGCCTCCTGAGTGCTGGGACTGAAGGTGTGCGCCACCACCGCCCGGCTTGTATTCATTTTCTTGGTAGCTACTCTGACTAGGGTGAAATGAATCTTGAAGCAGGTTTGCATTTCCCTGGTACCTAAGGATGTCCAAATATTTCTTGACTGTTGTATTCCTTCTTTTGAGAACAGTTTCTTCAGTTCGTGGCTAATATTGTAAACTTGATGGAATCTCAATCTCTTAACAAATTTTTAAAAGATTTATTTATTTATTATGTATATATAAGAGGGCACCAGATCTCATTACAGATGATTATGAGCCACCATGTGGTTGATGGGGATTGAACTCAGGACCTCTAGAAGAGCAGCCACTGCTCTTAACCTCTGAACCATCTCTCCAGTTCCAAATCTCAATCTCTTAGGAGTCAAGTCTATTCATGTTTGTGAGGGATTATCTATATTAGATTAACAAGGTAGGAAGACCCACCCTAATTATGAGCAGCAACATTTTTCTGGGCTGGGCTCCTGGATTGGGTAAAAAGGAGAGAGCAAGCTAAACACAATCATTCATCCATCTCTCTCTTCTTCCTGAATGTGGACAGCGTGAAAAGCAAGCCAGTGGGCAGCAT